TAAGAACCTGGTTTCGCGGGTGTTTGCTGTGGGGGACGGGTGGGCGCACGCTGTGGTCCCGGCCTGGTGTGTGCAAGTCGCGCCACGGAGACGGCGCCCGAGGGCACGGGACTCTGCGTGTGCGCGCAGCGCGGCACGGTCTGCGGCTCCGACGGCCGCTCCTACTCCAGCATCTGCGCGCTACGTCTGCGCGCCCGGCACGCACCCCGTGTGCACCTTGGCCACCTGCACAAGGCACGCGATGGCCCCTGCGAGTTCGGTGAGTGGGGTTTGACCCCGAAAGACCCAGGCAAATGGGAAAAGCGGGATCCCAATGCTCTAAGGTGTGTGATAAAGAATTTTATTACATAGAAGTGAACACCACCTGGGCCCCACTCTCCCCTCCAGGAGCAGTATTTCGCATCGTAATTTCATGTTGGGGAAGAATGGGGCGAAATCTAACACCCTGCCTGCTGCCTTCCCCACTTCAGGGAGATTCCAGCCCTAGAGCAAGCAGGAGTGTGGATGCTTAAGAACCTACTATCGCAATTATTTGAAAATGGGATTGGAGTGGGTCCTGGGTCAAGTGGGTTGCTTGAATAGAGAGGAAGGGAAGGTGAGCGGTTCCGGACAGCAGGAGTTCCACATGGGATTGAAGAGTCACCAAGACAGAGAGCCAGGATCCTGAGCATCCAGTGAGACCCAAACTAATCAAGGCTCAGGGAGCTTCCATCAGATGAGTCCTTGGGAAACTTAAGCTCTGAGAAGATAATGGGACCGCAACGGCTGGCCCAGTCTAGAGTGCAAGTGATGTGAAGTGTCTTGCTTTAAGACACTCAAATGAACAGAAAGCTCTGGGTTGCCAGGGACTTTAAAGCTCAGCGCCACGCTGCACACCTCCCTGGTTCCCTAACTGATCACTGTCTTGGGTAATTATAAAAAAAAAATCAGTGTCCATGTCCAGGAAAAGCTAGCCTATTTTGCCTGTGTGTGTGTGTTTGACATGGCCAGGAGTTTTCAGAGTACAGCCCATCTATTCTGTCTGGATGATAAGTGTGGTAAGTGTGATGGTTGGCTGGTCCCCAGGATGCTCCCATGCAGGCTGTGCTTCGAGCTTCTCCAATTTTCTGGCCTAAGCTGGGAGATGACGTCTAAACCAAATGCCCAAGTTAGTGCTTCAAGAAAAACACCTAGTGGCCCTTTTTTCCAGGCCTTAAACAGTGCTTGGTATTGTGTTACTCTCTTCTCCCTCCAAACAGTCCATGGAAATGTGCTCAGATCCAGGATGCTGGTGGATTGATGGAGACAGGGCAGGAAGTCCACCATCCAGGGAAACATGACGTGTGCTATCCGGTGAGGGCTGAAGCAGGCTGGGTTTCACAGAAAAGTCACCAGGCTCTTTCCTAGCCCATGCTCCACTGGAGGACAGTGCTGACTGGGGGGTGGGGGTACCCCTGGATAGTTCCTGGCTCCCCTAGTGACATTGAGCCTGGTCATTTTCCTGTCCGGTCACAAGGGCCCCAGAGGAGGCATTATTATTCCCTCTCTGCTTGGAAAGCTTGTGTCAGCCCTAGACACCAACACAGTCCTGGCTTCCCTTCCTGGAGTTCTGTCACCGACTGCAATCTGCCGCCTCAGCAGTTGGCTCCCAGGCAGTTCCCTTTGTCTGAGACAGGTAGCACTAAAGGCACACACAGGACACAGAAGAAATGCTGACCAGGACCCCCGGAGCTTCCCAGTGGTGCTGGGCTTGGGTAATTTTTCCCTGGAGGGGTATTCTGTTCTTAGGAGAAAGACCCCTTCAGGGCATGTAGTGCAAAGCACCAGAGACCCAAGACACGGGGGACTAGTCCAAGATGTCCACGAAAGGCTGCCACCTCCCAGGTCCCAACCCCTTGTCCAGCACTCTTTCAGGAGTGGACTTGATAATATTAAGTCAGGCAGATGGTGGTTACTATGGTTACCAGAGTACAGACAGATGGCAGATGGAAAACCCACACCCCTAATTCACTGAAAATTACCAAATGACAAGTAAATTTGCCAGCCCCTCAGCTCTGATCTATGGGCTCCGAGGCCCGCCCTGGGCTCCAGCCTGGAGAATAAAGAGGGTCCTCAGAGCCAAAGGGAGCAATTCAGAAGCCAATTTCCAGGACCTCATTAGTGGCAGACGTTGGCACTCCTGAGCTCAGCTGTCCTTTCCACCAGGGTTTGCGTCACCCACCTCGGACCTGACGGACCTGGCTGTCGTCTACCTGTCACCTCTGTCTTCACAAGCTTGTGTGGTCCTTGCCTCCCATCTCAGGGAGGCGTGGGCTCCTGTACAGGGAGCTGTTTCCTTACCCAGGCTACACCTCATTCTGGGCTGCCCTCAAGCCATCTTTAATTCAGGAGACACAGCAGGAGCACTTTTAACAAAGCCCCAGGGGACCCCGTTTGAAAGGAAACAGACAGTTTTACTTCAGTATTGGTGACAGTCACTCCTGCTCAGCTTCTCCCAGATGCCATCAGCACCCAGGTACTTCCACTTTAATGGAGTGAGGGTTCATACATATTGATTAGCCCCTTCCCAGTGGAGACCAGTGATGCCTCCGCGGGACAGTGGTGGCAAACGGTGTTTGGGGTCTAGATGCTGCCCTTCCCAGAAGCCTTTGCTCAGAATTGCCCACTGCCTAATTTTGAGAGCATCCTTTGAACCCTGTACATCAAAGACTGTTGATGTGCGACTGTTTTATTGTTAGACGCTGTTTTTGCATGCATTGCTGTTTGATTTTTGCAGTCACTGGAGAGAGCAGGGAGATCTTACCTAACCCCTTAACGCAGTGATCTCCTGTGACTCCCCAACCATAAAATTATTTTCATTACGACTTCGCAACTGTAATTTTGCTACTGTTATGAATCATAATGTAAATATCTGTGTTGTCCGATGGCCTTAGGTGACCCCTATGAAAGGGTTATTCGACCTCCAACAGGTCTCGACAGACAGGTTGAGAACCACTGCCTTAATAAAAGGGAACATTGAGACACACCAAATGGGGATTCTTGAAGCTAAATGGCCGGCCCCAGCTGAGGCAGGGCCCCAGGTCTGTCTGCCTGGTTCTTGGCAGATCGCTGCCGTCCATCTCCAGCCTGCGGGGCTTTGACCCCAGCAGCTTCTCCGAGAGAGCTTGAGCTCCTCCAGAATCTCAGAAAATTCACCTTGGTTGGAATTCCTCCTCCATTTACAAGCCCGGGGTACTTGTTACCAGGTAACCAGAGGAGGCGGTGAATGCCACTTTGTGAGAGGGACAAAGGAAGGGGCCTCGTGTTCCAAAGCCTTTCATGAATGCCGAGGGAGGGGATTTGAGTCGCAGGCTGCAGGCAGTGGGATTAAGCTGGGGCTCCTTCCACATCCAACCGTGATTATAAGCATAAATTATCAAGCCTGTTTGGCACGTTGATCATTAAATTTTTTGCTTGTGTGTCTCTTAATACAAGCAGATAAGGTCCTTAGGGGACGACTCGGGCTATTCTTGCAGTCCATGGCACCATTAACTTAAATCTCTGGGGCATGTAGGATGATCTTTCTTTTTAGCCACCAGGGACCCATTTAATGGAAGGGGTAGGGAGGCAGATCACCACATGGAGTAATAAGAAGGCAGGTCCTTTCATCTGGGCACATCCACACAGCAGACACAGACGCCGTCATTAGGTTCCCGCATGCCAGAGGGTGTGGGGCAGCCTCGTCCTCTTCCCAAGCAGACAATGGTTCACAACCCGCCTCGCACTTGAACTCCCAGGTGGCTGAGTCTCTCTGGCACTGTTTTGCCTATCAGAGGTCCCACCTCCTCTGACCACACACAACTGAGTGGCTGTGACCTGCTGTCACACCCTGGGATGGATGGAGCTGTGCCACCCTGGATTTCCTGGCTGCTCCGAGCATGAGAAGGAAGCATGTGCTGAGCTGGAAGAGTTAGAGAGATGGAACTTACCCCCTTGGAAGCCTGGACTGGCCAGGAGCCACCGGCCTCCCTGAAAAGCCACTTTGTTCCAATCAAAGGTAGACAGAAAGGAAAACGCTGCTCCTCCCGGGATGATGCAACACTCACATCCCGGAGGTGAGAAGTTATGTCCTGGGCTCTTTGAAGATCGCTACCATCCAGATCCAGCCTGCAGGGCATTGAACCATTGTAGTTTCTCTGAGCTCTGGAGACCCTCAGGGTTGAGGGTCATAACCTCTGGTTCCACCAGATAGGACCTGTCACCAGAGGTCAGTAGAGGACTGCAAGCAAAAGGAAAGGTCTGTTCTAGGTAGCATGGGCTGCTGTTTCTCTGGGTCCCTCCTTAGGACACTGTGTAAGGTTGCAATGGGTCCTCAAGTGTTCCTCATCTCGGCCTGTGGAGGGCAGGCTGCAGGTATGTCATGGCACAAATATGAAGTTTTCCTGGAAGATGTGTGTATTAAAGCTTTAGTCCCCAGCTGCGGCAACCCTGGGAGTGATGGAGTCTTTGGGAAGTGGGGCCTGACTAGAGGAAGTAACTGGGTATCCATGCCTTAGGGGAAATCTTGACCCAAGAACCATCTCTATTCCTTCCTCTGCTTCCTGGCAGCCATTAGATGAACAGCTTTCTTCCATTCTGCCCTTCCACCATAATGTCTCTGTCTTGCCATAGACCTAATGGGACAAGTACCAGGCAGCCACGGCCTGACTCAGGTTCCAAGGAGGATGGGCACCTGTGTCTACTCCGCAGCAGCCACCTGAGACTGAAGCATGGCACTGAACACACAGCACAGACAGAACTTTAAGTGGCTTTCCTTCAGTCCTGCCCACCATACCGTCCTTCCTGCCTCTGGTAGTCACTGGCACCCTGCTATCACACTTGAGTAGTGTGCAGACTAGAGTTGCCCTGCTAGTGTTATGGGCGGTCCCTCGTGGGCATTGCTGGCAGGTGATGTGTGGATAATAGAGACCAAATAATGCCTGAGACTGCCACTTCATGACAGCTGGCAAGGCTGGCCAGTGACTGGCCCTGGAGAACTTGGACTTAAGGAAAGCACACCATTCCCGGAACTGAGGAGAGTGACCCACTGCCTAAATGACGGAGTGTGGTCCATGCTGACATTTCATCACCATGAATACCGCCAGTGACCATGACAGAATGGCTTTGTCTTGACTCCTGGTCCTGGGGTTCCAGTCCAGAATGCACTGCTCCATTTCTCTCTTAGCCCCTGGCGAGAACAGCACAGCAGGAGTGTGCGGTGGAGCCCACTGCTCCTCTCCCAAGGCAGGAAGCAGAAGAGGAAGGCACCAGAACCCTACAGTTCCTCCTGAGATTGTACTTCTGGTGATCTGAAAACCTCTTGCTGGGCTTCACTTCTTGAACGGGCAGCCCCACAACCATCACCACTATCACCACCACCACCTCCACACCCCACCACCACTCACAATCACCACCACCACCACT